CGGCAAAGTACATTAATTATGTTGACAAACTAGTAATGGTTCATTTAAGACAAACAAAGCAAATTATGTACAGAGCTATCAACAGAGCCATGTTCGACCGATGTCAATCACACATTAGAAAAAAGGTAAGGCAGTTCACTATGTAGCATAAAGGCAATTTCTGTTCGAAAAAAATACTATGGAACTCAACTATCCGCAGTGGTCAAACTGGCGGTTCAGTGGAAGGCTAACAACAGTGATGAAAGGTTATGAAACAGTGTTTGCAGCGCAAAATCCAAGTTGTTCTATTTTATATGCACAAGCACTTAAGACATTCGTTGCACCGCTTTCTTGTAGGAGTTCTACTCCCATAGATCTGCGGTTGATACATTTGACTTTTAACATTTTCTCTTTCATCGCTTCTTTCAAGGTAGCTATAGCTTTAACTTCATTTCGTTTGCTTGGTGTTCTTCATTGAGCGAGTTTATAACCTCGTGCGATGTCTTTCGATTTTTACCATTTCATTTCTTCTAAGGGTATGGGCGATCTAAACTTTGCTTTTTTGCAAAGCTTTCGCTTCATTCCCTTTCTTATCGTTGCTCCAGCGTTTCAACCTGTTATTCCGAATCTAGATTCATTTTGAGGGAAATTTTTTTTTCCTTCGTAGTTCCCGTTCTTTCATTTGAGCCGCTATCTTCAGTCATTTCGCACAGCCGCAGTGTTCTGTGGGTTGTTTTGTCATTGTCATCCGAGGTTAGCAGAGTTGAATCCCTACAGCTCATAGCACTGCCGTCACATTAGCCGATACTGGTTATTGGTCAGTCTCTCTGCCTGTTTGCAGCTAACCGTCGTACTTGAGGACTGTTTCATGATCAGTAACGTGTGCACGCACTCGACTGCATCTGACCTTGCCTTGATACAAGTACTGGGCCGAAATTTGTGCCATCCTTTTTTGCACTCCTGATAATTTTTTCAGAAAACTTTGCAAGATTATCATATAATTTATCACATCAGTAGAGTTACCAGATAATTCATTTTCAGCAAAATAACTGAGTAACGCATCGTTTTGTTTCGCAGATGCTGTGATATTTAGAATGGCTAAAGACTGGTCATATTTTCAGGATATCACTAAATATTTTACAAAGCCTGATGCAAATAAGCAGAGTACTACCCCATCACTGGCGGTAAGATCAAGTTCGTTGTAAAATATACATCGTACAATCTTAGAAGAAGACCAAAAGCAAGTCTCCGAAGAAACTGTCAACGCCTGTCAAGCGCAAGTCCACAAGAAGGATCATTTCATCAGGTAAGTGTCTTACGCTTGAAACAGGTGATTATATTTGTGGCGTTTGTCGAGAAGGGCACCCCTTACTTATGCATACCCTTGATGAAAATTGTTGGAAACGGTGCTGACGACTACATTTAACGTATCCAAAGTACTGCGCATTCGAATTGCCAGTGATCGATATATTCCACATCTTTGAGTAAATCGACGGCGTGATGATTCTTTCTAAGCATTTAAAAGCAGTATGAGTCGCTGAAATGAATCTCCGGACAGCTTCTGTAGATGGCCTTTGAGATTTTGGGACAGATGTTATTTGTACCGTCTGCCATGAATCTGGTACTTCACCTTCTGATATGCAGCAGTTGTACAGTCCAGTAAAGATCTCAGAAGGTGAGTCGGCACAAAGTTTCATTGTCATGGGATCTGAGCTGTCTTGTCTTGCAGTCGAAGAAGCTTCGATTTTCTTGAACTGCCGACATACAGTGTCGAAATGGTGTACGAACGACATGCCGATTTCGTGATTCACATTGATCGCTTGCGACAAGTGGCTAAGCGAATCACTGGCTGCTGCCTCATTTTCGAACCATGGGGTACAGCTGTTCAGAGTCTCAAGATCTGCACCCAGGGCTTTGTGTCTCAGCTTTCTATTGCACAATCGGTTAATCGCGGTGCATTTATTCTTCGTATTTGTAGAGGCTAAGATAACAGCGGAGTGCCCGTGGTTGAGTCAGCCCGTTTTTAGTGTTAGTTGCATTGTTTTCGGCCCTGGACCCTTTGTTTTTTGCTTAATCAGCCGTTTAATATCGTCTGAGCGGCAGCCAACATTCATGGTGTAGATTTTCTGCCGGGACAACATGTATCGAGGGCAAAGTTGATGTGTGCCATTACGGCTTCTAAATATTTGCTTACGTCATCGTCATGGAAAACGTCCCAATCTGTTGTTTCTACAATAGACTGGAACTGGCTAATAGTTTTAGCATCTATTGACCTCTGGATAACAACACGCCGACTGCACCGAATAAAAGTAGGCTTTCGTTGTTTGCTGCATATAGGCGATATAAGACGAAGGATACAATGATCAGAATTACCCGAAGGCGCAAATTCCCTAATGCCAAGACAGTTGGGGTTATTTAGCATTGCGCAATTTAGTCAGGCGTCAAGCCTTGTTGGAAACCAATCGAGGCCAGTGAGACCAAGTTCTTTTAACAATGTAGGTTACTATTGCCCATGAACAGGAGTATTTAATTTTTGAAACCGTGGCCAACGATGTCACGAAGTTGCTCCACAAAGGAATCATTGACGGCGTTTGCAGTCAGCAGCTGTTTTCAAGTTACCAACGAAAATGCTGAAATACGCTGGTAGGTACATTGGCTTGCATTCTTCGACGAGACACTGTAGATCGTCTTCGCAGAACTTAAACTACTCGGAACAGTTTACACACTGAGATAAATTGATCCGTGTTATTATACCGTCACCGTCACATAGTCACAAGACGACGTTTCCGAGACGATCAAGCCATCAACAAGTGTTTCCAAACCGTGGGCGCTGTCTTCATCTGTGAATTGTAATTAGGATTCTTGTAAGGGAATGGCGCAAGTGCTGCTAAACAGCAGCGTGACAAGAAGCGCCTTGAGTTCATCGAGCTTCTACGGGATGGCGCGGTAATTGTTGAAAATTATGGCTGGAAAATGCATGCTTCTGCAGCCATCCGCCTCATCAAGAGGAGTCAAGAACGAAGCAACAGGAAATCCAGCGATTGATACGTGCTGCAACTGAATCCGCGAAAGCCGCTGTCGTTTCGTTGTTTTAAATGACTCTTCGTTATTTCAATGCGTTGTGCTAAATTTATTTCGTTATTAGTTAAGTTTATTCTGAATATCTTTTTCTACAAGTGTGGTAGGAGGTATAGATTCGTCGTCTGTTCGAATAGCAGAAAATTGTCTTCGCTTGCCGATCTATGGTTTAAAGCGACATTTAGGCGGACGATGTAAACTCCCTTTTTATAGACGCGTTTTCATGCTTCATACCAGCGCCTTCACGACGCTATAAAAACACTCATGTGACATTTCAGTGATTGCATCCTTTATTCGATTTTTTCGAGCAAGCTGACTGAAAACGTTCCAGCTGTCGTTCAGACTAAGCGAATTCGTACATTGCTTACGCAATCGCCTTTCGTTAGCCAACATGTGCGCCAAAATAGGCAACGATTCTTTAATTAATAGCCGATGGTTTGTTCGGTCCTTGTCTAAAGAAGTGACATTTATCGAACTAAATTAGTGTCCAAAGTAGTAAGCATGGGAAACAATTTCAGAATGTTCTGTTTTCCTATTTCTTGCATCTGCAAAATGTTTGACATACTTGTATTGTTTTCCCAATATAGATCTTGTGTTACAGTCATTGCTGTCAACCTTATCAACCACGTTCATATTTTTCTTTCTGTCCGGTCGATGGGGCTTCAGGCAGATCTGCGGTCCAAATGCACCGTGCATTTTGCACTAGATTCGAAAACTTTCATTCATCAGGTACTGTTTGATTTTGTTAGAAAGCTTAGAAATAAAGAGGATAATTACAGCGGGGTTATTTTTATTATTCGACTTATTTTAATATTAAGAATTGTTTAGTAATTTTACTGTAGCGGTTTTTGCGTACAAAAGTTTGTACGTATTCAGTTTCAACCTGCTAAGTGCAGACCATGTGGTTGGTGTTTTATGAGACCTAAGCTTAATATTATTTACAACGTTTTTAAATCTTAATTTGGATTGCGCAACACTTGGTGTGTAAGTACCTGATGAAATATTGAGGTTTTTAACACGTAAAATCAAACGATATTTCATTTTGGCTTCATTGTTCCTAACCAACGCGCCCTAAGGCCTGATTTGGTCCTTTTCTTCTTTCACAGTAGTCAGGCGATATTTCATGATATATCAAAAGTTGGCAAAAAATTATTAAATGTATGCGCGCGGTCAAAGAAAATGTAAACTGCATACACTGCAAAGATACCATCCACATATCTTATGTAGACCAAAGGTTGTAACTAAGCCGGACAGTTTTGTAACATGGATGTTTCAAGATGATCTGTATACGAATTTG